TTCTCTATCTAAGGACATGTGTTCGAAGACAAAAAAGTTGAGATAGATGAAATGGCTAATGTTCCTTATGCTTTAGCTGTAGGAAGCCTTATGTGTATCATACTGTGCACGAGGCCTGATATTTGCTTTGCGGTTGGCATGGTAGCGAGATATCAGTCTAACCCTGGTTAAAGACACTGGACTGCGGTAAAGTAGATTCTCAAGTATCTGAAAAGAACTCGGGATTACATGATAGTTTACCAATCAGATAGTTTAACTCCTTTGGGTTGCACATATTGTGGTTTCCAAGTTGATTGAGATAAGAGAAAGTCGACTCGGGTTATGTGTTTAAGCTGGGAGGCAGAGCGATCTCATGGAGGAGTGTAAAACAGAATTGCATCGCAAATTCCACCATATAAGTCGAATACGTTGTTGCTTCAGCGGCAACAAAGGAGACTGTTTGGCTCATAAGCTTCTTACTGGACCTAAGGGTGTCTTCGAGTGTGCCTAAGTGTATCACTATATATTGTGACAATGTTGGGGCATTGGCAAACTCGAAAGAACCCAGAGCACATAAGGCCAGTAAACACAAAGATCGTAAAACGAGGAGATTTGGTGGTAACGAAGATAACATCAATTGACAACCTAGCTGATATTTTCAAGAAGGCTCTGACGATCAAGGTCTTCGAGAAACACGTAGAGGGTCTTAATTTACGATGTGTTGCAGCTAGACTTTGAGTATAAGTGGGAGAACTGCTATGACATACTTTTTTATACTAAAAGTTCAGTTTTGGGATAAGTGGACAGGGGCGGATTTAACAGTTTATATGAGTGGTGGCCTGAAATTTTTACAGAAATAAAACACGATAATTTATAGTTGAGAAAATCAAATACCAATACACAAACTTATGCTTGAGTCCAAGTAAACAATAATACCACTCCTTTAATAATAATCTCACACATTTTCTTGATATAAATTTTTAAAAAGTATTTATTCAAAATATGCTATATAAAATATAAAGAAATATATATCCATCAAATCAAACATTTCTTTTACTATTTTGACAACTATAACATTAATCACATATTATGAGAATTATATAATAATAACATAGCTATTTCCAGTTTCATTAGATTGGCTCTTAAAAAACATTAAATAAAATATTAAACCTTAATTAATTCAATGATTAACCAAATACAATTAAAAACCGAAGAGACCTTTTCATTGTAAAAATATGTTGAGCGGAAAATATAAACTATCAATCACAAATTAATTATATAATATATGATTTAGGAATGCAATATTAATAATCAAATAGCCACAAAAAATGTAGCTAAGCATGAAATAAAAGTTTTATATTCCATGATTTCCAAGAACAGTGAACAAATTATTATCATCCTATTGTATAAGCTTTTTTCTTTACTTTGTGAGGGCCCATTATATGCTATGTTCATTTTCTTTTTTTGAGTGTGGGCCTGGGCCCCCACTGGTTCAAGAGTAGATAGCCCCTGTAAGTGGGAGATTATTAGAGTATACTGTAAAACAAATATTTATGTGAGCTTTCAGAAGGTATTTACTCGGTTTTCTAGTTGACTGAAATAAATGTTTTCATATTATTGCACTCTTTATGATTGCTTATCCGCTAAATGTCCAATTATCTTATATTGTAGAAACTGTGGTGTGTTAGTAGTCCAACAAAAGATTGCATTATTGGTTCCTTATAAGATATAAAAGGTATTCACAACTGAGTAGTTATGGACATGACTATCAGTTTAGGTTGTAGTATAAACTGGATGTAGCTTGTCTAGGCTATTAGTTTATTTTTATGCGCTGTATCGCATTGAAAGGATCACAATTGAGACGTGTTCTTCTGTTCTGTTGAATAACCAAAGTTTCGGTGACTCTACTAATTTTTAACCGTAATTATGACACTTAGATATATGGGATAATTGTTTGTTACTTTGACTTACCATGGGTGAGAATCAAGTTTGATTCAATATTCTCCGTATCTTGGGTAACAATATTATCTGCATGATAACTATTTATTGACATTAGGGCATCATGTCTTGTTCATCCAGGTTGATTAGGTCCCCTTAAGGAACTCATAAGGATTATTGTATTAAACTTTGCAGGTGGATTTAATCTTTACGACAGTAAGGTGAGCGATACTACTTAAGAAATAAAATGCATTAATTAATTAAAGCACTCAGAAACTTCAGTAATTAATGGACATGTGATATCTTAAACACAAGAAATTATATTGAGTCTAATAGAAGCACTGATTCATTTAGGGATAGGACGGAAGTGCAGTATTAATTCTGTAGTAGAATGAATTAATATTTACGTGTCAAATTGTGTTCGGGGTTGAACATAAGAATTTGGGCCCATAGGGAGCCCAAACCCCATTCGTGGGACGAGAATGAGACGTGAAGCAGCCTGCTCTTTGCAAGAATTTGGAGGATCGTCGTCCATTCAACGTCCAAACGTTGTCGGGATACAAACGAAAAGATCGTATTACTGAATCAAAGCCTCTGTTTGAAGGTAGCTTTCTATTCATACTTTAGGAGCATGTCTAGATTTGTTCGAAATCATGTATGTATAAGTTTGGTATCCGCTAACGATCCATGGGGGCGGACCGTCCTCACTGGCGTGTTCCAACATACACTACATTCTTTTTAAATTAAGGGTCAGTTTACATTATTTGTAACAACTTTTTAACTCTGCCATCACATATTTAGGAATCAAAACGTGTATTATCATAAGATATGAGTGAGTGAAGACAGGAAGAGATATGTGTGAGTATTATTTATTTATAATGTTTGAATATTTAAATTTCATGTTTCTTAATTCAAAATCGAAACTCTAAAATGATAGCTATTTTATAATCGATCCAATTCAATATAAATCATATATGAAACTATTATAAATCATAAAAATAAAAGAAAAGATAAAATTAATATTAGTTTTCAAAATTCTTTTTATACTAATTTGTATTCATACATTGCTTTAATTTTTATGATTTATCTTTATTGTCTCGTACATCGCAAGAGCAATGTACTAGTGTTTGTTACAATGTAAATGTGATGCCATGTTAGACAGATTTTGAATCATGGATCAATGTTATCAACATAGTACAAATCAGGAACCAAGTGATTAATACATCCAAATTCTATTCGACTAAGTAAAAACAATTCCTTAGATGATTTTGGTGATGGATTCATGGGACTGTTGATTTTATTTTATTTTATTTTTTGAAATGACATAATTTATTAATAAAGCACATAATTACAAACGGCGAACTAGCCGATTGAAACAACGAAAAGCTGAATTCAAAGGAAGGTATACAAAACGACTATAGCCTAGAAACTCCTAAATTAAACACACCCACAAAACTAAAAAAAATAGAAAACTAGAAAACAAAGCTCCACTAATGGAGAATTCTAACTCCTGGACTGGAGAATACTAACTCCCAAAAGGAAGAATAAAATACCAACACAAACAAACAAAACAAAACAAACTAGATACTAGACTAAGACTCTTCCCACAGTCGTCAAGCCACACCAACCAAAAAGCATCATCGACACCCGAGAGCGACCACCCTCAGACAGAGACACAACTGGGTCGCGATCCAGAAACTGCAGTACACTAACGCCTAACTGGATCTAAAACCACAGATCCTACCCTCACCCAGATGGACAACCTCAAACCAGCAACCGAAATCCCCCATTACACTCCACCCCAACACCACCGATGGCCCGACGACGACCCAGGTCCGAACACGAACCAGACCACTACCCGACCCAGTCGGCGCATCCCTTTAGCCCAACACCAGGGAGAAAGGGACACAGGGGAAGAAGACTCCGACCTCGGCCCCGACCACTCCAAAGGGGCAATTAGAGCCGCAACTCTCACTCGCAAAGATGCCGGAAGACCGCCAACGCAAAGATGCCGGTGGAGAAACATCAGACCACTCCCACAGTGAGACCTGTTAAAAGACAAGACTCACTCAGGGGAGATCGACGCCCCCTCCAAAGAAATTGCAACATCCAGCCGACGCCGCTTTTTGAGATTTGAGCCGCATGGTCCGGTGGCGGCGGCGCTATGATGGTGCGGAAAGCCCCGTTGGGGGAAGGCGTCGAGATGCAGCCGAATGAGGGTTTTTTTTTCTCAAAAAGGGGAAAGGTTTTTTAATTTTTTATTTTTTATTATTATTATTATTATTATTTTTATTATTATTATTATTATTATTATTANGGTTTGAATTGTCTGTTTTTGGGATTATTGATTCAAGTGCTGGATTGAAGAGATACACGAAGAACATGTAATAGAAATTCCTTACCAATTTTGGAACATGCAAATGTTCAAGTGCTGGATTAACGGGATTATTATTATGTTTTCTAGTTGATCTGTTAGGTGTAAAGGTCAACACAGATAAAATCCTTTTCTGGAAATTTAGAAAAGTTGACGTTTATATTACCATTAGCCAAAAATGAACAATTTTGGATTGTTTGCAAATCGGTACAAGCCTAATTTAAGTCGCCTGAAAATGGATTGGCAGGATGGGATGTTTTTTCAAAACATCCCAATCCAAAATATATTAAATTCTGGAAAAAAAAAAATATATTAAATTCTCTTCAAAGGAGCTCCACAATCTCTTTAAATCTTACAAAAGATTAGAAGAAGATTCAGCCCCACTGGAAACTTTTGTTATCCGATTCCAATACCGTCCCACCAGTCGTTCAATCCCATTCTACCACAGGATAGCTCCTCAACTAGTTCTCAAGAATCCCAAGCAAGTGATTATTCAATGTCTCAACTCAAATAGACATTATTTTCCAGCAGAAACTTGCAAAACTTTTCCGTTACATTTTGGATGGAACAACTTTTGGTTGGCACTTGCTATAGTCCAACTAGACGACAATAGTTTCTTTGTCGTTAGATAAAAGAAGATTTCCTTTCTGGTTATTACCTATTTAACTGAGAAATCAACTTGGTATATAATACTGGCGCAAAAATGAATTTGGCTGAACATAAGAGAGATTTATTCCCAAAGGAGCTTTTACTAGATTAATTTGACAAGTCACAATACAATGGGGGTCAATGCTCAAGCTTAAACACACACAAGTTATCTCAGCTAGCCATAACTAAAATGAAGGACCCAATAACTATTTGCCGGCAAACAATACTATCCTCGTTTGGTGAACTTAATGGCACAACATGATATACTGAAGTTACAAACTACAGTACTAACCTTTGGAAATAGAATCTGGTATGGCGAATATGTGAAATCATGCCGCTAGCCATATGTTAGATAAGGCTAATTCCCACAGTAAGTGTGGCCAAATAATTTCTTGTACACTTGGGATCGGAAAACAGGACTACATGAATGTATAATTGCAGTTGCAATGGCAAAGGACTGTAAGCTCGACAGTGTTGGTTGGAAATGGACGTAATACAAGCCATCAAGAAAATTCACCAGCTTCATGATCGGTACATTTTGTTTCGAACCCTGTAAAATAACCAAAAAAAGGCACACTTATTGCGATCCTTTCACCGTGTAAATAACCAGAATATTTGAAATAGTCAAGTGTATATTAATACTGTTGAAACTTTTGATAAGATCAAGGGAATGTCTGCAAATACTTGCTTGGAGAAAGGTTTCATAAAGAATGAAATATATAATAATCAGAAGTTGGCAACAGAAATTAAAAATAGAGAGTAATTCAACAGTGTGGAAATGTTTTATTTGGTGGTAAAAGTCACATTAGAATCACAACAGAAACGTGGAGCACCCTTCCCACTTTTTAATAGTAGATAGATTGCATAATGTAAAAGCAGAAACTCATAACTTATTCTTTCTTTTTTCAGTTCTAATTAAAAGTAGAGAATGGCTTTTTTTTTTTTTTTNTAAAAAGCTGGACCAAGAAAAGGGAAATGACATCACACGAACCTGCATAAAAAGATCAACTGATTTGCATTCTCCACAATCATCCACTTGGAATGAAAAATCTGTGCCGTTTGACCTGGATTTGAGAACTGTTAGTGGGCAACCAATATCCCATCCCCCACAATCACACTGCCCACCAGACATCCACCTCTCAACAAGGCCCGATGGGCCCCCGCCTCCTGTTCTTGATCCACCATGAAATCCCACAGGAATAACAACATTTATGCTAGTTGAGCACTCCTCATTATCCATAGATGGTCGTTTTTTAAGAAACTTCATTCCCCATCCTCCAACTCCAACCTCGTTTGAAATTTTGCAAACCTCTTTCACTACAATGGCAGCAAGCTCAAGATTTGGTGATAAACTATGATGATTGCCATGCATGTATTCATATGTACTACTTGATACGCCTATTTTGGAATTCGATCTCAGCTTGTGAGAGTGAGCAAACTTGAAAATATCCACAATTTTTTCTGTCAGTTTCTTATTCTTTGAGAGGGAATAATTTGACTTTTGCATCTCCACTGTCAGATCATCACTCGAAACCGATAAAGTAAACTGAGTTTCTCTGATTTCCAAGTTGTTGTTAGAATTCGAATTGATTGAACTAGACACAAACATCTTGGCAATACCTTCAGACTCATCATGCTCATTTGTATCACATTCTTTCTTCCCATTGCTGGCCGAGTAGAAAGTGTAAACGCAATCCAGACTCTTTTTACCACCCAAAGACTCGAGCTTTGACAATTTGGCCATGTAAACCTCTTTTTTATCATCCACGGAAAAAACATGGCGTATTAGCCCATCTTTCCAAGTGCTTTGCAGCGTACCCTGAAATGATTCGCTGTAACTAGAAGATGATGACTGATCAGAAAAACTCGAGTTTGTACTTGATGTAGAAGCATCTCTTTTATGCACAGGCTCGGATAAATATTTACGATCAAGAACTTGTTTCAACTCCTTCTGTATAAATGAGTTACTGTACAGTTCTTGCTTGGAGTCTGTCAAATCAGAGTCTAACCGTTGATCCATATAAAGTAAATATGATTTTCTGATACTTGATTCGAAATCCAAGAAACCCGATTTTTGAAGTAACGTGCTCCTCAAAATGTTGATCATTGCCTGGCTACCGAATAAAGTAGTAGCAGTCCAGTCACAGAACGAGCTCATAACTACCTCAGTTTTACCGAGCAATGGATACTTAATAGCAACTTGAGCCATATTATTCGAACCCATATTATTTGGTGAAATATCCAATTCTGCGGATCTTTTAAATGCACAGTTGTGTATGGATTCCAGACAACGACGGATATACTTTTCATCAAAGGTTGTAATATATTTTGGGATATTATTTTGCAACCCATTGATCTTTCTAAGGTACAATCCTTTGCTGCTTGGGCTGGCTCTTGACCTCAGAACGTCTAACATAAGAGTTTTAGAAGGAGTTAATTTTCTTCTGCTGCTTTTGGACACCAGGCTTTCTCGTTTTACTTCTCGACTTTCAATAGCACACTGAGTAGAACTGTTTTCAGTTGTAGTATCTTTTGTCAGGTTTGTAATTGGTCTGTCCATCCTCCAGCTCAACAGGAAAATATAACGAATTAATGGAAAAATACAAGTAGTGTGTTCATTCCAATTCCTATTATGCTCATCCGCTATGTAGTACAAAACTTAGCAGCAAGTTTTCTTCTATGCAACTTTTAATTCGGTCCACAGGGAAAACATATACACTTCGATCTGCAAGACGATTGAGTAACAAAGAAAACACTTAAGCTGAGATGGTTCAAACCTAAAAGACAGAGGAAAAATAAATGGAAAAAAACTCAGGAATAAGATAATTCATAAACCTCACAAGAACATGTTTCACTAAGATGATTAGTAGGCATTAGCAAATCTTTCTTACTAAATATGCAAGTAAAATAACAAAAAGTTTCACATACAAAATTTTGTGACTTATGAATAGCATTATGGACTGGTTACAATGTTTCATTTTTCTTATAGAGAGGAGAAAAGAAAATGGAAACTCGGTTTGAATTATCTTTTCCCTAACATCAGGAAAGATGAGTGAAATTACCTGCTATGAACAAAACAAATGTTATTTATATGGAAAGAGGAAAATTAACTAATCTTGGCCTCTCATTGAATTACAAACACTGATACTTCAATATGTTAGGCAACTGAGAGAATTATGGAATTTGAACTCCAATAACCTCAGGTTCCTGATGTTTAGGCATTTGACTCAGAGAATGCAACTAATGCATAAAAGGCAGAACTAATACATATGCTCCACATAAAATTTTACTTGCACAAAATAGAAACATCAATTTTTATTTTTATTTTTTTTTTGTGTGCGTGTGTGTGTGTATGTTGAACAGAAAGTAAAGTCACAACCCTTTCAAATTAAGTCCTACTATTTTTACTCATAGATTTACAAATTTGTATATGCTAACAACTAAAAAAAAAAAAACAAGGAAAATGTTTAGAAGCCAACACATGAACATCACATAAATACAAGTATACAACAATAGATTATTACTTCATAAACAAAGCAAATCAACAATAAAACATAAATTCACAAAAAATAATTTTCACCTTCAACCAAAGAATTGAATACTAACCTTAAAACCTACTTCTAACCCAAGAGTAATAAAAATCTGTTTACAAGACAGTAAAACCCATCCAAAATCTCCTAAAATTCATCCCATAAAGTGAAAAATTTACCACAATTAGCAAGAACGAGCCCGAAATATAAGCTTAGCCAGAAACTAAGAGACAAGGGTTGGGAAAAAAGCAGTGAACTTTACCTTCAGTGTGAAGAATTAATGAACTTCACTACTCCATCTTTTAAGCCCACGATCAGATAACTGTCCTTACAGTTCCTAGCTCTCCACGAAAAATCCCAAAGCAGTACAACTGCATAAACACATTTTCAATGAAATTAAGAGTTGGGAACTTTTAACTGTTGGCCAGGTTGAGTATGCAAGAGAAATTTTTGTGGTGGGACCCGCATCTGGACAAATCCTTGAATACTCTAGTCATGGCCCAACAACCCTCTAAACCCCATTCCAGGAACATGCCCACTTTTATTTTAGCCCAACTCATTAATTACTTCAAAGACTTTTTGTTTTGTTTGTTTCTTTTGATTTTTATTTATTTATTTATTTTTGTGTGGCATTAGGGTTATTGTACATTTATCATTTTTAATTAAGCGCTTTATTATTTTAATTTTAAAATTAAAAATATCAACATTGATCAATTAATATATGAATCATCTTTATTCTAGATCAAAGCTAAAATCTCAACTTCTTCCATAATATTTCAAAACATTATATATATTAAATAGTTATATATTAAATTAAATAGTTGTAGTTCAATTAAATTTAATTTTCCTAGAACTTCATATTACCAAACTTCAACAATAGTCAAGTTTAAGAAAATGGTTTTCCTAAATAATTTATTTGCAAATTCCATTACATATTTAGATTCTCAATCAAAAGAGTATTTTATTTATAGATTTTCAAAATTCACTTATTACTTTTTTTGAACTTTTAAATCGAATATTATAAAACATTTGCCCAAGTATAACTTATATAGATCAAGTTCCTTAGTAAATGAGTTTTACTAAGAATATTTAATATTTTTTATATGTAAAATATCGATTACAAAATAATAATATTTTGGTTCATAAAATGCAGAGTCGGCAGCTGCAAAAGGCGAGTGCAAGGGAAAGCCCACACCCAAAAATTGATTGAGAAAAAGAAATCTGGCGCGTCATTTTCTCCAACATGTGACTTCTGCATATGCGAATCTATGAATTGTGATGTGTTGCTCAACATAGTACTACCTTTTTTTTTTCTTCAAATGATAGTGAATTTATATAACAAATGCACAAATGTGCAAAGATACAACTTTGAATATGGCCCAAGCTGACGACCGCCTAGAAACCTGACTCTAGCCAACGCCAGAAACCAAAACAAGACACTCGAGACAACCAGGACCGTCTCTAGAAATTTAGAGGCCCCAGACAATATTTTTAAGAGAGGCACGTAATCGCAATTTTATATTTTTAATTTTTATCATTTGAACAAATAAAAATAAACATTGTCAATAATAAATATGAAAAAAACATGAATATGATAAAATTTAGTAAATTAGAGTACAAAAACTTACAACCTTCTCGTCTTCTTTTGCACAAAATTATCAATCAAGTCACCATAATCAAGTTTCACAACCATTTTTTTTTTCAATGGATAACATCGCCAAACCATTCAATCTATACTAACAAATTTGATCATCCTTTGATTTATTAAAAACAAAGAAACTATACATCAATCTAAGAAAACATAAACAAATACCAAAAAAAAAAAAAGATTATAACTTATGCCAGTCAATTGGAGAATTCAGACTTTCAGAGAATCAAGTGGAACAAATAATAAAATTTGTATAAATGCTGCTTGATTGTTTCAAAACTAATGTATTCTAATTGAGGTGACTATCACTATGATACTTCAATTAAAACAGTTAGCAAAAGATATTAATATATTATAATTGATCTAAATCTTCAAGATGGAACAGATTACAGATATCATCAAAGTTGCCTCACTGCTTCAAAACTAACAAAATATCAAACCAAGATTTTTCAATTTTCTTTCTTTTTTCTTATTTATTTATTTTCAAGGAGGAAATACATACTCAATTTAATTTACACTGCTTGGAAAATCAAAACCTAAGCCAAAGCCAATTTGTTCTTCAAATTATAACAACTAGTACGTACCCCGTGAGATGCACGGGACAAAGATATTAAATGAGTTATTTTCACATCCTTGTCCGTTTAAGTCTAAAAAATAATAGGATTATTATCTATTTTCTACCTCTTTTAATCAACGTTAAGTCTAAAAAACAATAGGGTTATTATAAGTTTTTTTCCACATGTTTTAGCGTTGTTGTTTTTTTTTTTAGCCAGAACATTAAATATGAGCATGTTAAGGCTAACTGGTAATTAATATATTATCTCACTAAAATATTTATACTAATAAAAATTTAATTTTAGCATATAAATTTATCTCTTGATATAAGAGAAAGTAACTGTTTTACTTATTGTTGTTCAGTATATAATATTTTATTATTATTTTATTATATAAGAAAAATGAATATTGTTAAATAGTGTAGTAGAATTGTTATAAAATTATATGAATTAATTTTTTTACAATATGGATTTAAATCTTTAAAAGATTTGATAATATAACTATAATATATTCTTAATGAATAAATTCATAATACTATGAATTTATTCATTAATGTTAAGATATTGAATTCGGTAATATATGATTCACTAATTTGTAATATGTCTCTTTTTATATTGAAAATAATCATGTGATTGAGTAGAGATAACAACTATCTATAAATTCCTTCATTTAAGGAATAATTTTTAAATTGGTCCAAGTGTTGAATGCACTCCGATTTTCTTGTAACTAAAATGAGAAGAGATTTTGAATTTCAACATTTCACTTCAAAACCACACGTATATTTGGATGCAGATTTTATTAAAAATAAAATGAGAAGAGATTTTGAATTTCATATTCACTTTAATATCTATCGAAATTTTCAAAAATGAATTCAACAAAACTCATAAATTTAGGGGCATTTAATGCTACCCTATTTTATGATTTAAAATATCTAAAACTTTCTAAATATGGTGTGCAATTAATTATTTTAAAAGATGAACCGCTTTTGTTACCAAAAAATGTGGGCACAATTTTTAATGTACATCCCATCCAAATATCAGTTTTATTTTAAAATAAAAATTGCACGTGGTTTTAACCAATTTACACACTTTTTTTTTTTTAAAAAAATTATCATTAAGATTGGAAGAATTAGTTACAAATTATGCAACTATTTGTTTCGTAAATTTGTATCCAATTTGCACGGTTTTTAAATTGATTTGTATTTAGAATTGTTTTCATAAATAATTGACACATTTTTTGCATATGAATCTCTAAATTTGTTATCAAAAAAGATATGATTTAAATTTTTGTAAAAAAAATAAAATATTATACTAAAAAAATGGGATTCAAATTTTGCCATAAGAATCTCCAAATTTGTTACCGAAAAAATAGGATTCAGATTTTGTTTCTAAATATTTACATGTGTTTTTTCAGACTTTCCATTAATAGTAAGTCAAACATTATATTTATTTGGTCAAACTTTCTATTAATATATTTTTCCAACAACCTCTTTATATATATATAGATTATGAATTATCATGCTAAAAAGTAAAAAAACTATGCTTTGAACTCATAAAAACTTACAAAAACAACAAGCTACACCTACATAAGTTCCCTTCAGCCCAATTTAATCATGCGCAAATGAAGATTAAAAAAAAAAAATTAAAACATGTACCGAACTAGAACTTAGAACACAGAGACACGGATAATATTTAGAAAATAGAAGAAGTTCCTACCGAATTGATTGAGAAGCCTCGTGGCGGCGGCGGCGGCGCTTGAGGCGGTTGTGATGAGGGTGGAGAGATTTGGCCGTCGAGTAACTACGGGGAATTTGCGCGGGTAAAATTTGTAAAGTGCAATTGCAAGTGATTAGTTTTCTCTTGGCAGACCGTGAGTAGAGTATAGCCTTTAAACTTTATGTAAATAAATGGGCCAAGCCCAACAGAAATATATAATACATAAATATTATGAGGCCCCCAAAATAATGTGGCCCTAGGCTGGAGCCTTGTCTGGCTGGCCCAAGAGCCGGCCCTGGAGAAAACAACACAACAAACACAAAGAAAACTACAACGAAAAGTTCTCCACAGGAGAATAGAGACAGGAGCTGGTCCCCACAGGATAATAAATTGCTCCCGCTCAAACTGAGGCCAACGGTCCATACCGAAGATACAAAACCATAAGCACACAGGCAAAGTGCCCAGACCAAAAACACAATACTACCAAATAAAACAACAAACACAAAAAAACAAAAGAGAAAAGAAGCCTTCCACAGCAATCACCCAGACCAAACCAGCAGAGAACAATGGATATCAAAGAATAATCCAAGTACAGAGAACCACTTCCAAAACTGCCACAAGACCTATACAAAAAGCCGAACCCGAACAGGAACTAAACTCCAAAAAACGACCCGTCACCAACCGAAGGAACAAAACGAAACCAACCCCCATACCAGCTCCAACCAAACCCGTCTAACACCACTAGTCGAGCTCGAGGGGAACCGATCCCCCACCGCCTAACACCACTAGCCGAACGGAGAACGATGAGGGTGGTTCGGCTACTTGACATCGGCCTCCCCGACATTGAAAACACCTCGGCATCCAGAGCAGTGCCCTACCCATAGCTACATAACTCCGCCCATCAAAACCACAAACCCGACGGCGACCAGAGCCCGAAAATCCCGTCGGAAAGCCAAGGCCCACCAATAAGATCCTCAGCAACCCTAATCTCAACCCAACACAGCCATTAGACGGAAGCATACCTCAAGGGCGACCCAAGAAACCGGAGGTGATCCCCGTCAAAGATTCCGAGTTGTAGAGGCAAAGTCCCAAAATCTGATCGCCACAAAAAAGTTCGTCGCAACCGCCAGGGCCCCGACCCATCCACAGACCCTCGTCCCTCCCGATGCCAATACTGACCACAAAATTCGGTGACTAGCCCACAAGACTTTGCCTGAAAAAGCAAAATCATCAGTGGGATAGCCGCGTCGATCCATCAGCCTTCGGCAGCATCGGAGACGAAACGGCATCTGGGATGGGCCGAGCAGTTGAGGACGACCGCAGGCCCGAGTCCGCCGCAGTTGAGGAAGGCCGAACGGTGGAGGATTAGAGCAGCGACGCCTGGATTTTTTCGGGAGAAAAGGGTTGTTGTGAATTAAAATTAGAAAAAAAAATACCTTTTAAATTTTTTTATTTTTGACACTTTGCATTTTCAACTTTCAAATTAACAAATTTTTGTATGATGTATATGAAATTAACAGTTTGTCACCTAAATTTTAAAATCCTAAGTTGAAATCAAAAGTTTACAGTTAGCAGCGATGCTTTTTAATTGAATTTTAAAATTGATTTATGTATATTTTTTTCCAAAATGATAGAAAACTTGATAACAAAAAACAAAAGCTACAATATAAAATTCACTACAATTCGGATGGAATGGGATAACTACAGTTGTGGCCTAGAACGACGTAAACAAAATACATAACCATAGACAGTTAAACTAGGTGAGCCCTCTAGTTATAATACAAAACAATCAGAAAAACCAATGAATACCAAAGAGGATAAAACACTGACTGAGTACCTAGTCCGATCCCTCCTAAGCTTCAATCAACCAGTTCTTCCATGATAGAATTAAATTGTTGCCACTCTGCTGAAGCATTCTTCACAATGTAGTACTCCGGAGTTCACACGTTTTGAAACAGCCAAAGATTACGGGCTTTCCACAACTGAAACAGATAAGTGGACAACTGAAATCTGTCCTCTGAAACTTTTTTCTGTTCCAGAGAGCATAACCTCCACCACTAGTGAGTAAAGGAGCATCTGTCATTAGTGAAGCCATCCTATTTCACAGGCGCCAAGTCTCACACTCCCCTAGCTCTGCTGCATTTCAGGAACAAGTGCTTTACAGTTTCAACATCCTTGCTATAACAAATTATATCTACCTCCATTCATTTCATCTTCACATTTAAATTCACAGGCAACACTCCAGGGAAACACCTCTAAATAATATGTTTGATCTTCCCCTTCACCCTCATCCTCCATGTTCTCTGTCTTGCCAGTTTATCATGTTGGGTTGCTCACTCCCTTTAGGCTTATCCATTTGATTAGCCTTGTCGACAATTAGCTTAGCATAAGCAGAAGCAACTGAGAGTCTATCTTTTCTCCCAAGCTCCAGATCCACTTGTCTTCCAAATCTAGCCCCAAGGTTTGAAAACTCGGTATAGCCTCAACATATTCCTTATTAAAATACTGGTTGATCACCTCCTGGTTCCACGTTGTCCCTTCCCTATCCATCAGTTCATAAATCCAAGTTGGCACCATGGACCCTATTTTTAAACTCCACCTTCCTATCATTCAAAGTTGGCACCCAATTATAATCTATAATTTTTGTACTTCTGCTCTTCCTGATTTGAACCTGAATTCCTTAAAAAAAGGTTTGACAGTCATATAGTTGTTCCAAAGTCAAGATCCGTCATGCTTCTTTTGAGCCTAAAAAATAGTAGAGAATGGGTAGTACATATGCTTGAGGACTTTTATCACTAAGAGGTGAGGCATTGTCACAATCCTCCATAATTTTTTTATGATGAGAGCCTCATTGAAAAGTTTCATATCTTGAAACCCAAGGCCTCCTAGCACCTTTGGTAGAGTCATCAGATTCGAGGGTTTCCAATGAATGCCCTTACTTTGATCATCACCCTTACTCCACCATTACTCTGCACAGAGTTTATTAATTTCCTTACACAAAGACACATGCAATTTATAGCAAGACATCA